TCATTCTGAAGGGTGGTGTAATATTTACATGTTGTCAAGATTTCTGTGAATTCTAATTTAGTGGTGAATCTTAATGTTGGTTTCGAGGCGAGAAAAGCAAGGAGATTCTCTTTGTCCATTTTGCCCACTTCAGTGATGAATATTTTGAGTTGGATGCTTTCTAGGGCTGCAAGAATGTGATGGCATGATAGCCAAATTTTTTTGAGGTTATTTCGGGCCTGACGATACTAACTTGACTTCGAGAAGTGCGGTTACTCGCTAGAATAATTACAGGTTGCCAAAGTCCTTCTGTGCTCTGCTATTTTGGCTAGCTATAGGTTTTACCTTGACTTTCATTTACTTTTTTTGACCGGCACTGACTTTCATTTACTTAGACGTTCCTTTTGAGGGCAATTAACAAACTGATTTCTGAGACCCGATGAGCAGATCCGATAAGAAATTGTGTGCCCCATTCATTTACTCAGTCTTGGAGAATTCTCCACATATATGGTTGCATTTTTTATATGCATGGATTGAACAGCATTCACACGCTTAATTAATTAACATCCCATGCCTTCTGTTTCATTATTCTGCTTTTGTTTGAAAGTTTTTTGTCTCGAATATTTTGTACCCTTGACACTTCAACATATTATTCTTTTAAACAAATGACATTATTTATAGATCCATGACTTGCTGGTGAATATCTCAAAGCATACATTACAACCTAAGTATGAGGTATTGACTACAGATGAGAAGGAAAAATTGCTCGAGAAGTACAAAATGGAAGCGAAGCAGGTATAATCTATGTCTACCTGCGTTTGTACTAATTGAATTGCCTGTTTAGGAAGCACAAGTGCGCCCTTGTTATTTGCTTGCTCTATTGTAAGTTCCACTACTATAATAAACTGCAAAATGTAGAAATATAAAGTAGCAGTAAGGTTGAAATTTTTAAGGGAGTATATATTTAATGAAAACATTGAACTGGCATGCACTTCAGTAATATTGGTTCATTGAACGAGGGGTCCTCTGTTTGATAATTCAATAAATCCCATGTTACATCATCTTGATGCACAGGATAAAGTAATACAAGGATAAGCAGACTTAACAGCTAGTTTAATGAAAAAATATATAAATAATTGCCCCTCTGATGGACAAAGACAATATAGTTTAATTAAATATATTGCTTGGCTGATGGACAAAGGCAATACAGTTCTGCATTGCATGGAACATAGATCTTCTTCTACTTTAAGAACTAAGTGAGACTTGTGCATTGTATGAAATCTAAAGAATGAGACATTTTGTTCATAACGTGAACAATGTGACTCTTAACAGATTTTATATTAGTATATTGTTCGGGATTTTTATTTTTTCTGATATCCCTGTACAAGTGGAGTCATTTTATGACCTCATTTAACTTACAATTTTGGTTGTGTATATCAGCTCCCATGCTTGCTAGAAACTGATGGGATGGCACGTTACTATGGGCTGGAGAAAGGACAAGTAGTCAGGATCAGTCACACTGTTGGGCGCCTTGAGTCCTTTGAAACTTATCGTTGCGTAGTTTAATATCTCTATTGCACTACGATGTCTTATGCTACTATAAGAACCAGATTCATCAGGACAAATCTGAACAAATTAGGTACTGCTATGAAATGATCCTTATCTTGTCACCTGGCAATTTGCATAGTTGTCCATGATTTTAAGAACGCTCCTAAAAGAATAGATGTTAATAGATAGAAGTGCCCTATAATTATAAGTGTGAAAACCATGGATTTCTTGAAAAGATATTCAAATACAGTTATACATTTTAAAATCATTTATGACTCCAAAACCAAACACCTTATATATTCCAAAGTCAATTATGAATTTAAAATCAGGAGTGTATAGTTTAGTATCTGTTTCGAACCCAATTATTTGAATGTGAGACAGATTCAGCTCGACTAAGATGGGATAGAACTCGAGACTATTTTGTGGACATTTCATCTTGGTCTTGTAACTTTCCCCTTTTATTTATTTTTTTCATGTTGGTCTTTTCCACTCTTTAGGTTACTTATCACTCATCAGGTCCCTATTTAATTTGAGCATTTGCTATCTATAACTTGAATAGATTTCTTAGCCTTGATGTTCCCAAACAAGATTTCTGCGGCTCTATTCTTGATGATGGGCATGAGTAATCTGATTCATCACACAAATATAGATGCCGAAAATTATACCTATTAGATAAGTTGATATGACTAAAAGGAAAATAACAAAAATTTTACAAATAGATATATGACATTATGTGGTTTCTTGACTCCAAAACATGAAAAAATAAGCAAACGAGAATATGGTTTCATAAAATAATATCCTCAACGCTATCTTAGTAGTGACAATTAGAGCAAGAAGGAATATGAATAAATTTTTATCATTAAAAGCCTGTATATTGAACATACTGCAGATCCTCCACTAAGTTATTATATATCCCCTGTTTTATAGGCTCTCCTGCTAAGGCGAATCTTCTCTTTCTTAGTATTACCAAGATCCACTGTGCTAGCTTGTAGAAAAATTTCACCCATAAATACACTGAGTACGATAGAGTTGCAGGATGGTGTCAACTGAGATCTGGTGTTTTTTTTTTTTGGGGAAGTGCAAGTATTTTTCTACTTGAGAGAATTCTATTTAAGATACTATTGAATACTAAATATGAACATTTCTCTCAGTAAATATTCGAACTTTTTGGTTTTGAGTTAATAAATATTTTGTTACATATGAGTAGAGGTGGTAAAGCACACTAACCAACTCACATTATCAACTTCATGTTGCGGGTGTTTAGATATCAAGCAAACATAATTTTCAAATTCATGCATATAGTTAGCTGGTTTTTCAATGTAACAGTTTAAGTCATGTTTTTTATGATTGAGAGCACATTGATAAAAATAAAAAAGAGATGAGAGCACCTGAAACTTTATAGTTTAAAATTATAATTTATGTGATTCATCGAAAAAATATAATTGATGTGACAAAAGTTTTTTCTTAGTTGAACGAGCTAATGGGGAAAAATAAAAATTTATTAAATGACTGTAACAAGCAAAACGACCAATTTAATTAATAATAATTAATAATAAACAGGTCACTTCATTTTGGTCATGAAAATTTATTTTGGAGGTCCTTGATTCAAATATAACTACTTTCGAGCAAACTGAACAAATAATTTATAATTATCAGATAGAAAATAAAATAATAAAATAATCCATTTTGAATACCAACAAACAATTAACTTTATTTACAAATTAAAAAAAAAGGTACAAGGAAAAAATATAAAAACATCTTAAAAAATTATTTGATAAAATAATAATTTTTTAAACAAAATTTGTAATCACCGATAATACAAACGTAATTATTAAAAAATGTGTAAACAATTATTTAAATCAAAATAATTTTTTAAAGAGGCATACAAAATTAAAAGCCACCTTAGTATAGGAGAAGCTAAGGAAGGAATAAGCTTTGCCTTGGATTACATTTTTCGGTAAACATAACAAATGGTTAACGAATTCGTAACAGAGCAGGCCGCAAAAGACCATTTATTCTCAATTAATTCACCAGTTGTTTGGTTCTTGTTTCAAACTGACCAACAATTATAAATCCCAGCTGGTTCTGAAGGAGCAGAATCAATTCTGATACTTTTAGAGGACAGAGTACAACAATTTACAATCTCTTGATGTTTCTACCACAGGAATTTTCAATGTGTGCCAAACTTAGTGAGCTTTATAGGGGAAGTTGATGCAAAGCAGAGCAGGGAATGGAGGAGCAAGAGAGAAGTAGAGAACATGTGTTGCTGTTTTTGCATTACTAAAATCTTCCCATAAGTCTCACATTGAAAATTCAATTCAGATTGGACAAAAGGCACACTCTGAATCACATAGTTCGTATGCTACAAAACTGCAAGATAAAAGCACTATGGAGTTCTAGCAAAAATTTGCAAGTTCTTCAATTTATTACTCACAGTTTTCCATGCATGATTCTTAATCCTTCAGGGCCTGTTATCTGACATCACAATGCCCAATTTCTCAGCATCAGTACAAGTAGGACTAAAACGAAAGGCAGGACTACTGCATTTGTTGGCCGTTGCAGCATGGAACATAATCCTGCTTTGATTACAAGTAGCATTGTTCTTCAACATTTCCAACTGCTAGATTAGCAGATGAAGAGATGATTTAGTACCGCAGCGTAGAACTTGAAAGCCAGAAATGAGAATTTTCAGTTCAATAAATTACATAATTAAGCTTCTTGTTTGACAATATATGGTGTCAAGAATTACATGAAAATTTTTGCTTCCAGACAAAGGTTCTATCTTCCAAATAGAAGACATCATGATGAAGGCCATCCAGAATTGAGTATCAAACCATGGAAATTTTGATTTTCCCCGCTGAACCGAGACTAATAAAACAAATGAAGACATGATGAAAATGAATGAATCCCAATAGCCCAGCATGAGGAGTAGTGACAAGTGACGAAATTCTTTACAGGAATGAGTCATATAGACTAATGTAATTTAGCTTGGTTGGGAAAAACTTCATAGGCACATATCGGTTAAATATTGGGTTTTTAATTTCTACAAAATTTATTTGTAATGGATTTGGAGACATTAAGATAAAAGCCACCCAAGCTCAAGAATCAAGTTAAAAAATTTTGTATGTTGGCAGACAAATACAGGGTCTTCACCATTGAACTGTGACTTTTTCCGTAAATGCAGACCTCATGAAAAATGAACGAATCCTAAAAGCCCAGATATCAGTTTTAGCAGGACGACATTTCATGAAGAAATTACGGAAAGCAATAGAACTTTTTTCAGGAAAGATTCATATAGAACAATATAATCATTTTAGTTTCACGCTTTTGGGCCATACTACTGGGAATTACTTTATTGGCATACATTGGTTATCCATTTCTTTTCGCAATGTTGTGGAATATATACCACTGTTAAAGAAACCAAGCCACAGGAGACAAAAAGCACCATAGGACCTCCGATCACGAGCAACTAATTCACAAATTTCAATATTTTGAGTGCCATGAGCCAGTTTTTCACCTGTTCCAACATTGATTGACCAGCTATGTGGTTTTACCTCAGATTCAAACACAAAAATAAGATAAAATAAAATAGAAGCAAACGTATGATATAAAAGAAGTAGGGTTTAATCGCAGCTATAATTAAACTAAAAGGTTTATCAGCTAAGCTTCATTTGAAGAAACAGACTGGAGGCTAGAAGAAGAGAAACTTTTGAAGGTAATTGATCATTTATTTAATTGATATCACAAAAACCTTGATTTGTGCCATATGATATCATCTTCCTTCACAGATAGAATGAATGCCAGAGTGCAATATGACCAACCAAATTCTAAACAGGATGGGGACCATAAGCTACCTGCAATAAGCAAAACATCAAGGTCAATTGATTAATCACTTTCACACGTTTTCAAAAGCCAGTGCAAGGAATGAAAGAAAATATGCAAAATTTTCCACACCCTCCAACAGATTACCAAACAAAAAGAAAAATCAAAGAGGAAAATTTTCTATGGTGATTGATCATGATTCAATCCGCAGGCATGATTGAAGGTGAAATTTCAATATGTTAGGCAACTGTGTTTATTCCCTATTCATTTTAGCCCTGTACTGTGTTAGTCAGGTTTTAATTCTCATTTAGCAAATTCATATACTTGCAATAGTCACAATATCCTTATCACAGATTGGAAGCTTTTTATTCTCTGATAAATGAAAACAAAAACCATAGGTTTCCAGTATTTACTATCAAATTCTTCAAACTAGAAATAATTTTATCTCAGAAATCAGAACTCAAGAAAAGTAAACCAAACGGAGAAAAATTTCATTTTCAAGAAAGGAATACTCTTACATAACAATAATGAGAAAGAGCACAGAGGAGCAATCGCACCCCTCTGATGGAAAATGATGGGTCCTCCTTTCTTGCTCTCATGTTGAAGAGCTGAAGAAGGACCAAACTGAAGTAGATAACCACCAAGTAAGAGCAATATTGTTCATCTGTACTTTTGACAACTTTTCTACAGAAATGCCATCAGATGCTGAGGAAGACGAAGACAATGACTAAGATTAACAACACAAGGTGCTGCAGAGGGCTAAGAGAGAATATTATACGTGAGTGGATGGTGGAAGCTTCAAGCATGTGGTTCTGCGCACAAGATTTTAGGTGAGGATGAGATCAGATCCATTATATTTGGCTTAGCATTTCTGCACAAGGAGAAAAATAAAAGAATGAGATCGCATCATAATTAATCATGTAAAAAAACTAGGGGGAAAAAAAAAGGATGCCTTTACATGAAAAAAAGTGAAAACTTAATAAATGAAACTGGATAATAGTATAATGTAAAAGAAGTATCTATAAGGGCTTTAGAAGCATACAGAACTCCTGGAACGAAGTTTTAGCTAATACAGAGCCAAGGGATGTGCGAAATTTTATGCCACTCTTGTCCATTCTTTTGGTACCGTTGTCTCAAAAATGGACAATTCCCATTAATAAATAAATGGGAAAGGGACCTCGATAAACTTTCCTCTGGCAAGCATTGGAGATTTGGGCAATTATAGAGTTGTAAGCATTGAAGAGATGTGAGAGGGAGAAAGCCACTGCTATTTAGTTTGACCAAATCTGAACACCCTTCAAATCTAAGAACTTTGAGATTGGGTGGCAGCAATCCCTCTTCTGGGAAAGACTCCACATTTTCAAAACTTCCACCAATAGAGAACTTTTGGAGAGAATGAAGTCTACTCAAGCCCCAGTTCATGCGAGAAGCAAAAAGTTTGGGACAATTATGGATTGAAATTTGGACAATGCTCAGAGGCAATCCTTTCTGAGGAACCAAGTGCAGCTGTGGGCAGCAAAACAGTGATAGAGAATGGACATAAGGAAGGAGTGTACGCATGTCTTCATGAAGTGACTTCAGATGGGTCAAGCCAGAAAGATGGATGGATTCAAGTTTAGGAGTAGAGAATGCTTTGGTAGGGAATGATTCAAGCTCCAAATCTCCACATTGTTCAATCTCTAGCTTTTCTAAACATGGCAGGTCTGGAGGAAGTGACCTTCTTAACCTGGGACAATATCTTATAACAATCTCTTTAAGGCAGGGGAAGCATTCACCTTCAAAATGCATCCATTCTTCCCATTCCATCATTTCAGCAATAAACAAATTTACAAGAGATGGGAATGGAGCCCATGACAAATTATTATTCCCATAAAACTCTAACCCAATCTTCTTTATTCCCTCTAATTTAGAAATATGAACCGACTTGAGAGAGGGTAGTTGCCCAAGTGATGGCAAACAAAAACAATATTTACATGCCCGCAACACAAGAGATACTAAATTAGGCAAATAAGGAGCATCAAACCAATCTGGAAATCTTGTGCCACCATAGTTTCTAATAGTGAGCTCTTTCAAGTTCACATGAGGCTGGAGACCTTCCAAGGTGAACCTTTCATTCTGTGAATCCTCATTGTTTCCACTCCATTGCAGTCCCAGTTTATATAAGTACTTCTTATCCTTCATACAGGCCTCCCTAGCAACTATTGGATCATTGACATTTTCTAATTTTGAGACCTCAAGACTGCCTCGAAGATAAATGAGTTTCCCTAACTCCTTCAAATTAGACCAATTGTGTCTTCCCACATAAAAACCAGTCAATATTTGAAGATGTTTTAACCTTCCCATGTTGTTTGGCATCTCCCTTATACTACTCCAACTTATATCAAGGTGACAAAGATTGATAAGGTTGTGCAAATCCGGTGGCAACTCAACCAAAGATTGACACGCCTGCAATTTCAATGTTTGCAAATTAGGCAGTTTACAGAGTGAATCGGGTAACTTGCTGATCATAGTTTTAGAAAGGTCTAGATAATGCAGATTCACCAACTTGTCCAATTCCGGAGGTAACTCAACAAGCTGAGTGCACCCACACAATTTCAAAGTTTGCAAATTGTACATTTTACAAATTGAATCTGGTACTTGATCAAATCTGGTGTCAGAAAGGTCTAAATAACGGAGGTGCTTTGAGTTGTTCATGCCAACACTTAATTTAGTAATAGTTTTAATGCTTCTCAAACTCAAAATTCTCAAGTGCTTAAATTTGGATAATATTTCACCTTCATCCTTACCCTCCTTAACGGAGAATGGTACTCGTTTTAATGACACGAAACATCGTAATTGTTTACACTCATGAAAAGGCTCTAGTAATATTTCACTGCTATCACATGAAGCTGAGTATGAACAGTAGCGAACATTCTTATGAATGTTTTGCACGTTACCATCCTCAATCCTTAAACAAAACTCTCCAGATATTGATTTAGCAAGATCATTTACGAGATCATGCATGATATACCTATTATGCGTTGTTGACTTTTGGAGAAATGACCTTGATTCTAGTTCAGCCAAGATTTGACTTCCCATTTCTTCCACATTTTTATTTCCTTGATGGCAATGCAACAAATCTTCGGCCATCCACATGAGGATTAGAGAGTCCTTCTCAATTTGATAGTCTTTTGGAAATATAGAACAAAATGCAAAACACCGCTTTAAATAAGAAGGAAGGTAATGGTAGCTTAATCTTAAAGCTCGCGTTATATCACTCTCACCATCTGACAACTGCCATATCTCACAATTAAGGATTTCATGCCATTGTTTCTCTGATGATTTCGTGTGCAAGAGGCCACCCAATGTTTTTATAGCTAAAGGCAACCCTTTGCACTTGTGGACAATCTTTTTACCTATTGACTCAAGATCTGTCCTCTTGCTGTCATTCTCATTTCTAAATGCATATTCTGCAAATAATTTCCAACCATCTTCTTCATTTAATAAGGCCAAGCGGTATACTCTACTAGAGCAGACAACTAGTGCTACTTTTTCACTACGTGTTGTAACAATGATCTTACTTCCTGATGTCCCATAGAAAAAAGGAACTTGCAAAGCTTCCCAATCAGATTGGCGCTCATTCCAAATATCATCAAGAACTAGCAAAAATTTCCTCCCCACCAATTTCTCCTTCAATTTCAGCTGAAGCTGATTTAGGTCTTCATATCCAGTTACGAAACATTCAAATGCGGAAAGTATTGTTTTTGTGATTCTAACAACATCAAATTCTTCTGAAATACATACCCAAGCTTTGAGTTGAAACTGATCCTCTATCCTTACATCGTTGTACACTAGCTGAGTAAGAGTGGTCTTACCCAGTCCACCCATACCCACTACAGAAATCACGGATAGTGGGTTCATACTCAGATCCTGATCAAGTAAACGCTCAATTATTTTTTCTCTGTCACTATCTCTACCATATACACTGGACTCACCAACCACCAAAGATGTAGTTGGCAGTCTGGTGGATAGTTTAACACCAACTCCAGCTTCACTACCACTGCCAGAGCCTTTCTTCAATCCCAGAGCATCCTTTTGTTTTGCAAGGAACTCCAGTTCATCAAGCACTTCCTGGATTCTTTCTTCGATGTGTTTTTCAAATTGATTAACGAAAGAAGTAAAGATGCCTCGTACCTTACTGGTAGCAGATTGATTCTCAGTTTCGATCTTCAGCCTGGTTGCCTCCGTAGCAATCTCATCTAAGAGGTCATCCGCGACATACACCACATGTTTGAGCTCGTGAAGCCACGTGTTCACATTTGGGCTTGTGTACTGCCTTGCTTCTGCATCACCAAGCACTTGATTCACAGAAATGAGGGTGATGTGAAGCTTCTTAAGCAAGCTATCTTTGAGGTTTCTTGATCGGAAGTAGTGGGTGATGTCAGAAGAAGCCAGCCTTTGAAAAGCAACTTGAAGAGCAGCAGAGAGAAATGCTCCACCCACAAGCTCAGCAGCCATGGTTTCTTGTATACGATCAGAGGAGAGGATGTGGAGTGAGAGACAAATTCTCATTTCTTGTAATAACGAGTGCACAGCGAAGTCAACAAAAATTTATTGATTTGGTTGGGACGATGTTGATGGGTTGGCATAAGCTTTCAAAACAATTAAGTACACAAATAAATTTCAAAGACTGACCTAAATATTTCAGTCATTTAAGATGGCAAAAAAAAAAAATTACAAAATTAAGGGCTTGTTTGTTTTTATTCTTTGTTTTATTGTTTTCAAAACAATTTTATAAAATTGTTTTTAGAACAAGTTTTGAAAACAAAAAAATAAAAGAATTTGTTTGGATAATAATTTTAAAAAAATCATGTTTGAAAAAAAAAACTCATAAAAAACCATACTTGTTAGATGATAGTTGTGATTGATAATAAGTGATGAATAGTAGATGAGAAGAAAATAAAATTTCTCAAAATTTTTCAAAACAAAAACAGAAAAACATATAAAAATTGTTTTGGTTTTTTGGTTTTTAAAAACTTGTTACTGTTTTTTGTCTTTTAAAACAATAGACTAAAAACAACTTACCAAACAAGTTTTTTGATTTTTCTGTTTTAAAAAACTAAAAATTGTTTCCAAAACAAGAAACCAAACAAGCTCTCAATTTCGGGAAAATGACCAGTACTAAATCCCAGAAACTGTCGTCCATAGCTCCATCGGCAAGCGGGCAGCAGTTGTTATTAAAATTAAGATTCAGCCATTAAAGTTGTTATCAAAAGGATGCAAAATAACATATATGTTAACTAATTTGAATTCATATAATTCATAAATTTTGTATAGGTATTGAGTGCATTTTATTAATTATTAATAATTTTTATTTAGTAAGTAACAAGATTACTCTTTCAACTTATTCATAACTTTTATATGAGTATTAACTGGTTGGTCAAAATATATATATATATATATATATAAGTATTGACTGTATTTCATTAGATATTAATAACTTTCGTTTAACAAGTAACAAGTTGTTCTAAACAAAAGTTACTAAATGGAAGAGTAACCTAGGGGTGTGTTTGGATGAAACCAAACCGTGGTTTGGAAAAGTGATTCTGGAAAATAGATTCTGGGGAGAATAGATTCTGTGAAAAATAGATTTTGTAAAAAAGTGATTCTGAGAAGTGAGAGTGTTTGGATAGTTGTTATCAGAAGCACTTTTTATATATACAAATTACTAAAAAAAGACATAAGTTAATATGATAATTACAGAAAAAATAGATTTTATGATATATTTTAATTTGAAGGAATAAAATTGTTAATAATATATTTTTTACCAACATAATTAATAATACATAAGATAATATAATTAATAAATAATTAATATGTATATATATTTATAAAATATAAGATTAAATATGTTTATAAAAAAATATGTTTATAAAAAAAATAATAAGATACATATCATATAGGCTCTTACACTCTCCCTTTTTTCTCCAAAAACAAAAAATTTCTGCTTTTTCCAAAACCATGGTTTTGGAGTCAAAACCATGGTTTTGACCCAAAATCACGGTTTGCCCAAAATCACGGTTTGCCCAAAACCAATGGGTGTTTGGGTGACTTATCACCCAAACCATGGTTTGGGGTGTCACCCAAACGGGGCCTAAATAAAAATTGTTAACAACTAACGAAACGCAGTTAACACCCATGCAAAAATTGTAAATAAAATGAAAGAGTGCCGTTTTGCTAAATAAAAATTATTAATAGTTAATAAAATATAGTTAATATCTATGTAAAAGCTGCCAATAACATATACTCAAAGTTAAGTAGTTCAAATATGAATAGAATTTCAAAAGAGCTTAAAATAAAAATACAATGATGACACTACTGATATATAGAGAAAAATCATGTAGTAAAGATGAAATCTCAAGATTAATACAAATTATATTCTTTCAAGTTTACTCTCATTTTGATTTTGGTTTTTCAAATTATAAACTATAGGTTTTGATTTGTCAAGTTTTTTTTATTTAAAATATTAGTTCTTATACTCCAACAAAACCTTAGATCATTATACCTCTTAAAAAACCAAAATTTATTATTTGAAATTTAAGGAACGAAAATCAAAATAAAGATATACTTGAGAGATCAAAAATTATATTAGCTTAATCTCAATCTCAAATCTTGAACTAAGATATAAAGATATCTATGTAAATAGGAATATATATGAAATATTTCTGAACATAACTGGACAAATTATTATGACCTAACATGCAAGGATGTGGACCTTAAGTTCAAAACTGCTTGCGAGTAGTACTAATAAACCACAAGTAAACTATTGTGAGAATCCCCACCAAAGACTATAATGAGATTAAAAAGTGAAAATTCTTCACAAAGAATATTCCAACTAATTAACTGAGAAATAAGAACATCAGAAATTTCATCATGCGGGATTGAACCCGCATGTTGGACCTCATAATCAAAAAAGGCTTTTCCACATATTATTCCCTCCCTTTGCATGTACGAACCGGAAGCTCGCGCACCGACTCGCTCAGCTCTCGCAGACGTTACCGCAGCGAGCGACAATGGCGACCTTCACCTAAACGGAAACGGAAGCGGCACCGCTGCCGCAGAAGGCGGCAGTGGAAACAGAAACTACTGCATTACTGATTTCGTTGACCAAGGGAGCGTGGAGAGCTCTAGGTACTTCTATGCTCGCCGGACGGTGTGTGAAATGCTTCGAATCGTGGTTATGATGTGCCCGGCTCGGAACTCACCCGCTCTCATGATGATTTCCGTCGTGTTTTCGGTCAACAACCGAACGTCGATAGCCTCCGTGTCTGCGTGTCTCTCCGCTCTAATCCATCGAGCAAGGTCTGTACTCAAATGAATAACATCTTAACATTTCTTTGTTTCGATCACTGAAGAAAAGGATGTGGCCTTATTTTTTCCTTATGAAGAAACGCATGCATCTTTCCTTTTTCTGAACTTCGAAAAGCAAAAAATAAAAAAAATTAAAAAAAAATCAACTACTCTGCTTCGAAATGACGTTTTGTTATCGTTTTCTCAACTTCAAATCACACTTCATTGTCTTTCTTTTTTTGGCTGCAGCCATGCCAGTTACACATTGAAGACGATGAAAAGCCTGAAAAGAAATCTTCCTTTAAGAAACTAACGGGAATCGTATATAATGGTTTATATTGTTAAAAGTGATGATCGAGGACCTGATGACCAGGAAAATTTTTATTTACATATGTTAAATGAAAGGAATTTGCAAATTAATCAAAGTAATAGCATATTTCTGTTTCATTTTGTGTGTGTATATTTTTACTAGCCGAAAAAGGTCTTTTCAATCGCTTGTCCGTTTTTGCTCTGTATGTATTTTCTGAAGCAGGGGAACGCATGATCTCGTCTTCATGGAAGTGGTGGAAGGCATAACATTGGATTTATTCATAGATTATAATAAATCGTTGCCAATCTGTCTTGGGATTTGAGTCATATTACTAAAATCGCATAAAAAAGGGACCTTGGTGTCTTTTTGTGCCTATTAAATTCTGCCAATTACTGTGTCATCCCTCTTGAACCAGCAATGAACACGATGGACTTGTTAATCTTTTAACCCTTCTGGTTGGTTGTCTTTTTATGTTATGCAATTGATTTTCTTGATTAAGTAGAGTAGGGAATCATGGGTGTTTATTCGTTTTCTCCGCTGCCATCCCGCTGGAAGTTTACATTTATAAAATTGATTCTTTTTGTCATCCTGAGTTTTTAACACATTGATTATAGCAAAACCTTTCGCAACTTCGAAGAAACCTAAAATTTCGCCATATTTAAACGATTTGCCTACAATTTACAGAGTATTTTTTTGAGGTTTATATTCTTCAACTTCAAATATATTTCTTTCTTTTGTATTTAGTGATGGAAAAATATTTATAGCAGGATATAGAATCAGCTCCGACATTCCTGTGAAAGATGGGATTTAAGTAAATTTGTGCTGGAAATTCAAACTGTTTTGGAAAAATATGAAATGCATAGATTAAGACTGAAAATGTACAGTGCGGATCCAGGGGAGCATGCAGGGTGGCCTGTCTCCCATGTTACAGATTTATTTGTAATTTTTGTTCTTTTTTCCTGGAAAAAAAATGATAAAACTAATTTTGCCACCCTCATCCAATAGGAAAAAATGAGCTATCCTCTGTATCCATTGCTGAAAATACAGCAAGAACGGTAATTCGGTCGCTTAACATATCGAAAGAGAGAAATGTCCCTTACAGGTTATGCCATACTGTTGGGCGCCTTGAGTCCTTTGAAACCTATCATTGTGTAGTTTAATATTTCCATTGCATATGATGTCTTATGCAACCATGAGAATCTGATTTAGGAGAAATCAAAACAAAATAGGTACTGCTAAGTTCTGGGTTTCAAAATACAATCATCATCTTACGGAATGATCCTTTGCTTGTCACCTTGCAATTTGCATATCCGCAATTTAAAGAATGCATCCTAAAAGAATAGAAATTAATAGATAGAAGTACTATGTAATTTTAAGTGTGAAATCCATGGATTTCTTGATCAGATTACCTCGTGCACATTAAAATCAGTTATGAATCAAAAACCAAACACCTATATGAATGCCAAAATCACTTGTGAATTCAAAATTATGCATCCCAGCTGGCCTATCTTGGTCCCAATCATTTTAGAACTAGATGAACCCGTCTCAAGTAGGACTTGGACGAGATAGTCCTAAGGTCGGGACAAGAAAGAGACCAAGTGAGAAAGAGGTCAGGTGGGACAGGACTGTAGATGACCTTTGTTTTGGTTTAGTATGAAGCATTGAAAAGGAGGGATAAGGACTGTAATTGTAATTGAAAAAAATTATTTTAAAAAAAATTTAGTATGAACAAGTACTTGTCCCATGGGATTGGATGAACTCATAGAGGTGAGATTAGGGAATACCACCTCCCCTCATGATATTTTTTAATCCCACATATATGGGTTTATCCAATTCTATGTAGTAAGCAATTACTTATGTTAAAAACTCTTTTAGTTG